ATGAGGATAGTGTAAGAAGCCTCTGGGACAACTTCAAGCATACCAACATCCAAATTATGGGGGTTCCAGAAGAAGAGAGAGAAAGATATTTAAAACCTATTTGAAGAAATAATGACAAAAAACTTCCCTACCTGGTGAAAGAAATAGATTTACAAGTCCAGTAAGCACAGCGATCCCCAAAGAAGAGGAATCCAAAGAGGACCACACCAAGACACATCATAATTAAAATGCCAAGGGCAAAAGACAAAGAGAGAACCTTAAAAGCAGCAAGAGAAAAACAGTTAATTACCTGCAAGGGAGTATCCATACGACTGTCAGCTGATTTCTCAACAGAAACTATGCCGGTCAGAAGGGAGTGGCAAGAAATATACAAAATGATGAATAGCAAGAACCTACAACCAAGATTACTCTACCCAGCAAAGCTATCATTTAGAATTGAAGGTCAGAAAAAGAGCTTCACAGACAAGATAAAGCTAAAGGAGTTCATTAACACCAAACCAGTATTTTATGAAATGCTGAAAGGTATTCTCTAAGAAGAGGAAGAAGAAGAAAGAGGTAAAGAAAAAAAAATTATGAACAACAGCCAAAACCGGTTTGGCTCAATGGATAGAGCATTGGCCTGCGGACTGAAAGGTCCCAGGTTCAATTCCGGTCAAGGGCATGTCCCTTGGCTGTGGGCATATTCCTAGTAGGGGGTGTGCAAAAGGCAGCTGATCAATGATTCTCTCTCATCTATGTTTCTAACTCTCTAACCCTATCCCTTCCTCTCTGTAAAAAAATCAATAAAATATATTTTTAAAAAATTATGAACAAAAAAGTGACAACAAATACATATCTACCGTATTTTCCCGGTATAAGACGACCCCCTAATTTTACAGTTAAAACATAGGTTTATGCCTATATAAGACTACCCCCCACTTCCGAGGCAACACCAGTTCTTTTTTTAATAGACCGCCTCTCTGACTCTGGCCAATCTGAGCAGGCTTTTTACTAGAACGCAGTGTCGTCTTATACGCCAGAAAATATGGTATCAACAAGTGAATTTAAAAATCAAATGAATAAAAATCCTGATGAACAGAATATACTGGTGAATGTAATAAAATCAGGAACTTGGAACGGGAGCTCACTGACAATTCTCAGGTGGCGGGACGTGGGGAGGATAGGGGTTGTGGATGTGGGAGAGATTGGACAAATAACTTACATCTATGGATGAGGTCAGTGGGTGTGGGGAAGTCCTGGAGTCAGGTAGAAACCTGGTGGAGGGAGCTATGGGGGGAAAAGAGAGGAACATCTGTAATAATCTGAACAATAAAGATTTTTTTAAGTGCTTATCTCTTCTCCCTTATTTATTTATTCAATTATTTACTTATAGCAGCATGGACTTCTGGATATTTTATCATAAGGGTTTTGATCTAATACTGTTAATACACATTTTGTTGCTTAAATTATCTTAGCTTTGGCCTTTGGGAGTTACTTCGGATTGGCTCCTATGTCCTTTAAAACAAGTTTCCTCCCTTTATGGGTAATTCCATATATTTTCTGCCCCAAAGATGTTTCAGGTTATCTTGTGTTTCCTCTACCACAATCTGGACTGGTCAAGCAGGGCTAATAAATGTGCCCAGGAGGAAGGCAAGAGACCCTCCATGCCCAAGGCTGTAATTGGGCTGGAGCTTGGGGTAAGGAGGGATGTGAGGAGGCACTTGTGCTGGCATGGGAGTCACTGAAGGAGGTAAAGAAGGTGATCATCAGATTTACATCTTAGAAAAACTGTTAGTGAACTACAGGAGTTCATTTGCCTGTGTATATCAAAACCCAATCAAATACAGCAGTTTTATTAATTAAGGAAGTGGCGCCAAGCCCAGAGCCACAGGTGAGCAAATGTTTCAAAAACTTGGCTCCTGATAGCTTCTAATGGACACATTATGAAGGGAAAGAAATCATTAATGAGGATGAATAAGCGAGTTAGGGTTGTGGTCATAGTCATGGTTCTAATGATTGGTCGATGGTAGGGTAGTTATCAATGCATCTGGTCCTGATGTCAGCTCCTATGTCCTTTAAAACAAGTTTCCTCCCTTTATGGATAATTCCATAATTTTCAGGTTATCTTGTGTTTCCTCTACCCTAATTTAGGGGATCAAGAAAGAAGATGCTGGAGATGAGCTGTAGGCCGTCAGGAGCAAAACCCTGCAGTATTGCTCTGTCTGCTTTCACTAGGGGGTGGTTGGTGGGCTGGTTCTGCTTTCTGGGTCTGGAGCTGAATCCCAACTGAGACCTAGATGTCATATCTAGTTTGGCTGACACTGTCTCTGTGGTCAGGAGAGGCTTTGTTCCTAAGATGGTTTGATTCCGACCAAAAGCTCATTGTTTGGAGGACTTACTGATTAAGGAAATGCACATGCAGGGGAGAAAGAGGTGGGTGAGCCAGGGTGCTGGATAAGGCCAGTTTGAATCAAAGGGAAAGAAATGAAGTTTCTTCATGGTTACAAACCACTCTGGTTGCAAGTAGAGAGCAGATCAGAGGAGTGGAGCTGCAGTTGGGGAGGTTATTGGGGTGATGGAGGTGAGAAATCATGAGGCCTCAACTCAGGCAGTGGAAGAGAGAGCTGTGCATGGCAGTTGGAAGTTGCATTGCCATGGTTCTGTCTCATCCAGGGGGTGGGCAAGGAGAGGCAAAGCCGCTTTGTGGACACCTCAGAGGGGCTGGCAGCGCTGCTCTGGCTCCAGGGAGGAAACAGAGAGGACGAGGAAGAGCCTGTGGAGCAGACTCTGAGTCTGGTTTCTAAGAAGCTGAGTTTGAGGAGACTGAGGAATAAGATGCTGGAGATGAGCTGTGGGCTATCACGGGCAATACCCTGTGGCTTCTGGGCTGAAATAAGGTAACCATCAGGAGGGAGGAGAGGCAGGGGCAGGGCTGTCTGCCCAGCTTGGAGCAGGCTTTTCCTAAGTCAACAGAGGAGAGAGGAAGCCCTGAGGTCTCCCGGAGGGAGAAGGAAAGATCCTGTAATACAGGTCCATCTTGCTCATGACATGGGATAAGTTCCTGTCAACTTGGAGGCAACTCACATCCTCCTTCCCTGGGACATCATGCCCCCTTCACCCAGAAGCAGACCAAGAGCAGGCAGCTCCCTCACAGGGGACCAGTAGGGTCCCGTGAAATCAGCAACTGAACTGATTCAGGAGGAGCTCTTCCCAGACCTTTCTCTTGGCACATGACCAGTGTACCTCTGCCTTCTGGATACATCCATCTGGCTGCCCCTCAGGCAACTCAAAGTAACCAAACCCCAAATAGAAATCGTGTTTCCATCCTGAGATTGGCCCTGCTGGCCCTCACCATTGCCCAGGCTGGAAGCTAGCCATATCCCTGACCCGCTCTCTCCCTGCAAATCTCCATTTCCCCTTCATTCTCACTCCAACGCAGCTGCTTCTCTCCACACTGACCTATTTCCCAGTGTGGGCTGCTATCATTTCTCATGCGATTTCCATAGAACCCTGCACTCTAGACTGTTGTCTAGACTTGGTCCCTGTGGTGCTATATTCCAATTTCCAGGTGGCAGCCAAAGTAGTTTTGCTTTTCTCTTCTTTTTAAGATATAATTGACCTTCAGCATTATATTAGTTTCTGGAGTACAACATAATGATTCAATATATGTATACAAGAGGCCTAGTGCACAAAAATTTGTGCACTCATGGGTAGGAGAGGACAGGGGGAGGTCTCTCAGCCAAGCCTGCACCCTCTCACAATTTGGGACCCATCAGGTAGTGTCTCTAGGCCTAGCCTGAGATCAGGGCTTTCCATCCCCTGGATGCAGGCAGCTAGCTCCAACTCCACCACTACCACTGCTTGCCTTCTGTGCAGCACTGCCTTCCCCCCTGCCCTCTTCCCCTTCCACCAGTGGCCTCTCTCTTCAGGTTGGAGTGCGATGGCTTGGATGGCCTGGGCCTCCCTCTGTGCACAATAGCATGTGGGCCACTCACCTGCCACAGAGTCACCATCAGTGGCCTCGGCCTCCCTCTTTCTTTGCTGGGGGGTAGGGCCAGTCTTGTGAGGGGCCATCTGCCTATCTGATTGCCCCTAACTGTTGGCCTGCCTACTTGATCTCCCCTAACCATTTGTATGCTTATCTGATCACTCCTAACCACTGGTCTGTCTACCTGATCACTCCTAACCACTCTGCCTGCTTGATCGCCCCTAAATGCTTGCTTGGAGGTGGGGCCAGCCTGGTGAGGGGCCATAGCCATTCTGATCTCTGGTTGTTCCAGTCATTACACTTATGGTGGCTTGACTTTATTATATAGGATATTGTATAATGATGACCACAGTAAGTCAAGACAACATCCATGACCACACATAGTTGCAAATGTGTTTTCTTGTGAAGAGAATTTTTTAAATCCACTTTCTTAACAGTTTGCAAATATAATATGCAGTATTGTTAACTATAGTCACCGCACTGTACATACTGACATCCCGGGACATATTTATTTTGTAACTAGAAGTTTGTACCTTTGATCCCTTTCACCCATGTTGCTCACCTCCACCTCTAGCAACCAGCAATCTGCTGTAAGTTTGTTTTTTTTGTCTTTATATTCCACATATGAATTCTATGGTATTTGTCTATTTCTGCCTCACTTATTTCACTTAACATAATGCCCTCAAATGGGTCTGTCTAAGAAGTACATTTAACTCTGTCACCTTCTGCTGCTTTACAACTGCTGAATTAGCGATTTTTGCCATCATAGTGAAGTTCAGACTCTTGCATAGAGATGACAAAGCCCTCCATAATCTAGAGATGCAATCAAAAGAGACTGAAAATATGACTTCATATTGGATCTTAATGAACCAAAATACACAATATCAGCTCATAGAATTTTATTATTTGATTACTTGGGAAAAACTTATTATTCTCACAAGATCCAAGGTATACATCTAGGTAGAGCATTTCACTGTTGGACAACTTCTAAAGACTGCTCCTGCATGTGCTAGGGAATCCATGCCTGCTTTATTTAAATCCTGAAAATCTCCTTGGCTGCTTTCACTGCTTTTGCATCTATGGGAGGCTTCCTCTGACTGCCGGGCTGCAGAAACTTCTTCACAGGTGGAAGGTTGCTGATCCTGGTTTTCAGAGCCTGCAATGCACAAAGCACAGCCTCAGATGGAGAAACAATACCCACCAGTCATTACATAGCCAGGGAATCTGAGACCCTCCTAACAGGACCAAAGGAGTCTCTTCCGTCAGCACCAGCAGGGCGCTGGGAAAGGGACACCCAGCAAGACAAAAAGATTAGAGGAAGGAAATACAGTTCAATAGCACTTTCCCCAGAGACAGGGTTCAGTTCACAGTCTTCTTGCCCTCATGCAAACCCTGTGGATTCTCACTCTTATGTAGACAAGGAAGACTAATGAGTCTGTCAGAGCAACACAGGGAAAGGCTCCAAACTGGAGAAATGAATATGTGAGACAACTGGGCAGGGCTGGAATGAAAGATAGAAAATATAGTATGACAAAATATAGGACAGTCAAAAGCAATCTTCCCTGTGAGAGAGAGACAGAAAGACAGAAAGAGAGAAGAGGCTGTGGGGAAAATAACACACACGTCTGAGAGAAGGAGCAGGAGCTGAAGGAAGGAAATCAGAGGAAGAAGACCTGTCTCTCTTCCTGAGTCTCTCTTACTCTTCATCTCTCTTACCTGAGTCTCTTCATCTCTCTTACCTGAGTCTGTTCACACAGACTCAGGTAAGAGAGATGACGACACCCTTGGGAGGAAGGGAATCCCAGAGAAAATGAGGACAGAAACTGCATGGAAGAGGGCTGAGGACAGAGACGCTAAATCCTAGGTCTCTCTCATTGTGAAAGACAAACTATTCTCAGTGGAGCAGCATCCACTTCCAGTTTACTTGGCAAAACAAGATTCTTTTTCTGCCTCAGACCAGGGCCTAAAAGAAAATTTTGAAGTCCTGGTGGCAGGGAACCTGGACAATGATGCCATAACATTGCCAGTCCAAGAGCACAGATATTGGATTCCAAGATGGGGGGTGTGGGTTCCCTGCCCAGGGCTGTGAAAGGGGTCACCTTCAGCAGCGGGAAGTTGGTCAGAAGACTGGGGTCAATTTCTTCAACATTGTAGAGAAGTTCAACCAGGTGAATGTCAGCTTTGCTCAGCCTGTTGCCAACCAAGTAGTGTTGTCCATGGCTCTTCAACACCTGGTGCATTGGTAGGAGCAGATTATGAACACAGGTGCACTCAGGCTGGGTCCCCCTGCTCCTGCCCAGGTCTCTCTACCCTGATTTCCTACCTGTGCTGTCTCCCTGAACAGGTGCAAAGCATCAGACCACATTCATCTCCCTGACGCAGTGAGACAGAAAGAAGCAGGTCTTTGCTCTTTGTTTTCCTCACCCCTCAGCTGACGCCCAGGCAACCATCTCCTTTCCCCATCCCCATATCTCTGTGTATTTTGGTCTGGCCCCAGGTAGCACTGGCTGCACTGTGTTTCTGTGTGTTACATGCCCTGGAGCCTCAGCAACTCTGAGATTTCAGGACTTGCCTCTCCAGGCTGTTCTCTCTCTCTCCTTTGAATAAAGACCCCATCTTCATGACATCCTTTCTCAATCTCGAGAACATTATTTCAGGATCTATATTTCTCCTCTTATCTGCTCCTCTCATTTACTGGTCTGCCTATGTAGGACCTGAAATAATCCTGAACAATGTGAACTCACCATTTCTCTTACAACATTGTCTCTTACTCCTAAGCCATCTGTGCCTCTCAATAACATTGGGAGAATTTGCTATAATTCACATGTGAACTTCCTAAGGGTGACTGCACTTGTCTGTAACTTACTTTTAAATGCATTAAAAAAAATACTGTTTGATTACAGCAGAGAGGGATGGGAGATATATGATTAAACAAACATAATTATAAAATGTTAATTTTAAATCTAGGTGGTTAATATATATGAGTTTTTTGTACATCTCTTTCAACTTTTCTGTTTCTGTTTTTTATAATTAAATATTGGATAAATATTATTAAAATTATTGCAATGGAAACTAAAGTGAAAATAAACAGATGGGACTACAAAATAAAAAGCTTTTGCACAGCAAAAGAAACTATCAACAAAACAACAGGAAAGCCCACTGCATGGGAGAACACATTTGACAATGTTATCACCAATAAAGCTTTAATCTCCAACATTTACAGGGAACTAGTACAACTTAAGAAAAGGAAGATAAACAATCCAATAAAAAAAATGGGCAACAAACCTAAAGACATACTTTTCAAAAGAAGACAGAAGGAAGGCCAAGAAACATATGAAAACATGCTCCAAGTCACTAATTATCTGAGATATATGTACCCCTAAGTTCATAGCAGCACAATTCACCAAAGCTGAGATTTGAAAATAGCCTAAGTGCCCATCAGCAGATGAGTGGATTAAACAACTGTGGTACACCTACACAATGACATACTATGGTGCTTTAATAAAAGAAAGACCTCTCACCATTTGCAATAGCATGGATGGACCTGGAGAGCATTATGCTAAGTGAAATAAGCCAGTAAGAGAAAGATAAATATCACATGATCTCACTCATTTATGGAATACAATGAACAACATAAACTGATGAACAAAAACAGATCCGGAGACAGAGAAGCATCGATCAGATGCTCAAACCTCAGAGGGAAGGTAGGAGAGGGTGAGAGTAAGGGGGAGAGATCAACCAAAGGACGTGTATGCATGCATATAAGCCTAACCAATGGACACAGACAACAAGGGGGTGAGGGCATGAGTAGGGGTTGGGTGGAGAGTAATGAGGGGGATAAGGACACATATGTAATACCTTAATCAATAAAGAAATTTAAAAATTATTACAGCAATGTGGACATCATAGAGAAAAAATCACACATGGACCACTGACTAAAGATAACATTTTGGCAAATAAGCTTTCAGACTGGATAGATAGATATGACTGGATAAGTAATTAATGAATACAATAAAATATCAAATGCTGTTTTTTAAGAAATATATATATATCTTTATTGATTTCAGAAAGGAAGGGAGAGTGAAAGAGAGATAGAGATATCAATAATGAAAGAGAATCATTGATTGCATGTCCCATATTGGGGATCAAGCCCACAACCCAGGCATATGCCCTTGATCAGAATTAAACTTGGGTCCCTTCATTCCACAGGCTGATGCTCTATCCACTGAGTCAAACCAGTTAGGGCTCAAATGCTATATTTTTAATTGGAGATTAAAGCCTTATCAGTGATAACATTGGCAAATGTGTTCTCCCATGCAGTGGGCTTTCTTGTTGTTTTGTTGATGGTTTCTTTTGCTGTGCAAAAACTTTTTATTTTGTAGTCCCATTTGTTTATTTTCTCTTTAGTTTCCATTGTAATATAGCATTTTTTATTCACCTGATCATAGGGCTCTTTATATTCATGTTATCATGGGTTCTTTGTGTTTTTAAAGTATAGATGCACCTAAATTACAAAGTCTGTTTAGGTTCCCATCATGTGAAATGTGCCTAAACTCTTAGCACCACAAGGACAGGAGAGTGCACTAGTATGCCCTGATTAATACCAAATTCTTTGCTCTTTGAATAGAACCTCACACACAAGCAACAAATGAACATTTGAGTGAATGAATGACTTAATACTTTACAAAGATAAGTTCCTCAATATTAATCTTTTTATTTCTATGTAAGCCTCCTGTATCCTTTATAATCTTGTTGTTCATGATTTTTATTTATCATGATGTTTTAATCTGAAATACTCCCCTTTTACCTTCAAAGAGAGGCATTAACTAATATAGGTATTATGTATAATGATGAACCTTTATTTTGTCAGTTTTGCATGACGTTCCTCAAAGGTTTGAGAGCCAGGTCCACAAAATTTGTAGATTATTTATTCCTTAACATCTATGTATCTGTTTCTTCCTCTCCATCCCACCACCTTTCTCCCTGTTTAGATACATCTCATCCATCCCAGACACACTACCATATCCTCCTGGTGGGCAGTTGGGGTCATGTTTCCTACGCGTGTTGCCAGCATATTTTCCAATGAATTGCTTTCCTGGTGTTCCTCTTGGATGAAAAGCCTCTGCATGGTGTTCTGCATCATCTACTCCAATCACTCCTGTGGCTCTAACTGTGGTTATGAAATGCCATCAAATAGAAAATTCTATGTCGTGGCCTAGTAAGCTTAACTTTTGCTGACAGATTATAACTTGGGTATAACAGGTTCCTATCCTCCCCACAGCTGATTTTAATTTCTTCCTTGATTTCTCTGGTAAACCAGACCTTGTTTAAAGCATGCTGTTTAGTCTCCATGTGTTTGATTTCTTTGGATTATTTTTATTGTAGTTAATTTCCAGTTTTATGCCATTATGATCTGAGAAGATGCTTGATATGATTTCTATCTTCTTGAATTTGAAGAGACTTTGCCTATGTCCCAAAATGTGGTCTATCTTTGAGAATGTCCCATGTGCACTTGAGAAGAATGTATATTCTGTAGCTTTGGGGTGGAATGTTCTGAAGATGTCGATTAATTCCATCTGATCTAGTGAGTCATTTAGGATGGATATTTCTTTGCTGATTTTTTGTTTAGATGATTTGTCCAAAGGTGACAGTGGGGTATTAAAATCTCCTACTATGATTGCATTGCTATTAATCTCTCCCTTAATGTCCTCCAGCAGTTTTTTTATGTATTTGGGTGCTCCCATATTGGGTGCATAAATATTTACCAGGGTTATTTCTTCTTGTTGGATTGTTCCCTTTAGTATTATGAAGTGGCCTTCATTATCTATTGTTATGTCCTTCACTCTGAGATCTAATTTGTCAGATATAAGTATTGCTATCCCAGCTTTTTTTTTTTCATTTCCATTCACCTAGAAAACCTTTTTCCATCCCTTCACCCTCAGTCTGTGTGCGTCCTTTTTTCTGAGGTGGGTTTCTTGTAGACAACAGATGTATGGGTTTTATTTTCTTATCCAATCTGTTACCCTTTGTCTTTTGACTGGAGCATTTAATCCATTTACATTTAAAATTATTATTGATAGGTACTCATTTGACGCCATTTTTATTCTATACCCTTGTGCTCCTTCTTCGCTTCCTATTTCTTTATTTTTACAGTAGACCCATTAGCATTTCTTACATTGCTGGTTTGGTGGAGATAAATTGCTTCAGTCTTTTTTTTGTCTGTGAAGCTCCTGATTTCCCCTTCAATTTTGATTGATAGTCTTGCTGGGTACAGTATTTTTGGATTCAGACCCTTCCTTTGCATAACTTGGTATATTTCATCCCATTCCCTTCTGGCCTGATAAGTTTCTGTGGAGAAATCAGTTGCTAGTCTGATGGGAGTTCCTTTATATGCAACTTTCTGTCTCTCTCTGGCTGCTTTTAAAATTCTTTTTTTGTCGTTGGTGTTTGCCAGTTTAATTATAACGTGCCTTGAGGTCGGTCTTCTGGGGTTCATTTTGTTGGGACTCTGCGAGCATCTTGGATTTATGTGGGTTTTTTCTTCTCTATCTCAGGAAAGTTTTCTGTCATTATTTCTTGAAATACGTTTTCCATGTCTTCCTCAGTTTCCTTTCCTTCTGGAACCCCTATTATTCTAATATTGTTTTGTTTTGCATAGTCCCAAAGTTCCTTAGACTCTCCTCCTGCTTTTTAATTTTTTTTTCCAGAAGCTGCTCTAATTGGGTATTTTTTTCCATCTTGTCTTCTAGCTCACTGATGTAGTCCTCTGCTTCTTTTAGTTTACTCTTGCTGCCTTCTATTGAGTTCTTTACAGTAGTGATGTCATTTTTCATTTCTTCTTGGTTCTTCGTCATTTCCTCTTGGTTCTTACTCATATTATCAAATTTGTCTTCCATTCTTTTTAGCCATCTTATGATCATTATTCTGAATTCTGGCTCTGGTAGGTTGCTTGCCTCTAACTCATTTACCTCCTTTTCTGGTGATGCCTGCTTTTCTTTCATATGCGGGCTGTTTCTTTGTCTCCCCATGATTTCTTTTTAGGATGTCTGGTTGTGTACTCTCTCTCCTGCTTTGATTTAAAGGCACAAAATACAACACAACCAGATACAACACACAAGGCACTGAATAGAAATGTGTTTGCAATATTAATAACCTCCAATAAAGGTGACTAGAACCCAGCTAACAAAAACATACAATCAAACAAAAAAGAATAGGAAGATCAATCTTATAAAAAAAAAAAAGCATACAACTTCAATATCATTAACATTCAACATACAACTACAAAGAGATAGAGAGAAAGACTGTTTTTTGTTTGTTTGTTTGTTTGTTTGTTTGTTTAGGACAGTGACGAGGGAGGTGTGAATGGGCTTGGAGCAGGGGGTTGGAAATTAGATATAAACAAGTAGGGTGAAATTTTAGGAGGGGGTAAACAGAAAGAATGGGGAAAATCTAGAACAGGAAAGGGTTGAGATAAACAGGGCACCAAAGGAAAAGGTTAGGAAGAGAGTGAAGGCATAAAGGTAGGGTTGTGATAGAATAAAGCACTGGAGAAGGAAATATAAATATAGACTGTAGAACAGTAATCCCAAAATAAAATTTTAAAAAATAATAATAAAAATAAACAAAAGAAAATAAGATAAAAAAGGTAAAATAGTAGTAATAATAATGTTGATTACATATACAATGTAATAATTAAAAAGGTAAAATCAAGTGAGGAAAAAGAAAAAAATAGTTTCTTGAGTAAACGTTGCAAATAATGAAAAAAATAAAAAAACAAAAATTAAAAAATTAAAAAAAATAAAATTAAAAAATTTTAAATAAAATTTGTAGTAATGAAGGTCATTCGCTTCCTTTATTGTTGTAATCCAGTCCTGGTTTTTAAGCAGGTCTTGCTTTGATTTTATTACACTAGGGTCAATTTGTGATTTAGCCTCTGTGTGGCAGTGTTTCTAGGTTGACTTCCCAGGCTCTAAAGCCTCTCTAGCTTCCCCCCCACGCCCCTTGGCAGCACTGATCTATGGGGAGGGGGGGGGGGCAAGTCTGAGCCAACTGTAATCTCCTGTAATTCTCCGATATCCTTCCGAATCAGATCCAAATGTGTTGCTCTTTAGATATCTCCCCTATTAGGAGCCCCATCCATTTTCATGGGTGACACTTGCTCAACAGCCAGGGCTTCTACTTGTAATCACCACACCTGTCCTCCAGTTTCTGCGTGTCCTGTGCGCGCAGGCTTTTGTCTTCTCTGTGAGCACTCACTCACCCTCTCCCCACGAAGTCTGACCTTTTCGCCGTGCAGTGGGGCATTCCTGTGAGTCCAAGTGTTCGCGCCACCTGGGATCAGCGTTCTGGGGAACACAGCTGCTTGGTGGTCGTTGCGGCTGTGGATATTCAGGCCTCTGACATGATAGAATTTCCCTTCAAGATGGCGAGATTTCCCCGTCCAAGCCGGTAGGTAGCTCTGGGAAGGGACCTAGCCCCGCTGTGGGTGCTTCCATGTGAGGGCCACCCTGGTCAGCGGCCCCCCCAATTTCTTCTGGTGTTCGACTGTCTCTTGGCTTGCTAATAAACACTCACAGCATGAGACCCTCAACTGCTCTCTCTTTCTGCTTTGGGACAAGGCTCAGAATCCGCCTATCTGTTCTTCTGCCATTTAGTCTCTTCTCCACAGCTGATTTTGATAACATCCCTGGAGAGCCAGGGTGCTCCATCAGTAGTCAGGAGGCCCCAATGGAAGTGAAGGTCAATGTCCTGGGACTTCCCAGACACCATTCCTCTTTGTCCTCTAATCTCAGTGCCCCAGACACTGAACAGCCCACTTACCTTTTCAAAGGCTGGGAAATAACGATTTGTTGTTCTTTCTCTGAACTGGGTCATCTTGGCATCTTGTTCACCAAGTGGGAATAGTTGTAAACGCATTATCATTTCATACAAATCTGCAATACCTTCTGAATACATATCAATCCTCAAAGACAAAAATGATCCAATTGTCAACTGTCACCTGCCTTTACATGTTACAGTTTAAAAATCTAAGAGAATGGGGTATCAGGAAGTTCCTGGTAACTGTTTCTATAATTTCTGGAACTTGAGAATGACCCCTTTTGTGTCCTTTCCTTTCTCAGTCTTTTTATAAAGGCCTGAGCACCTGGAGTCATGATCCCACCATTATCCTGGCTTCATACCGTGTTTCCCAGAAAAAAAGACATCCTCCGAAAATAAGACCTAGCGCATGGAAAGATAAGACATCCCCTGAAAATAAGACCTAGCACAACTTTGGGAGAAAAAATTAATATAAGACACTGGCTTATTTTTGGGGAAACAAGGTAGTTCCCCAGTGTTTAGAAAACTCTGTGACTCCCTGTGCTACCTCTGTGAACTGAGTCTTCTTTTCTAATCTCACTGCTTGATTCCACTTCAAGTGGAATCCCTCCTCCTCATGCTCCCTGCTGGACTGGACCTCAGTCCATTCCTCCAAGGCTCTTGCTGCTGTTGGTCATGATCCCTCGACACAATACTGATCATTCAAGAAAGAATCTAAATGGTTATTATTTGTTTATTAAAACACAGAAAAAATACCTACAGGGCTCTCTCCTTTATGTCTTTCCCATAGAGATTGTATTTGTCAGCAATGTAGTTGAGAATGGCTCTGGTCTGTGCCAGCTTCATCCCATCAATTTCCACCATGGGCACTTGCTGGAACATCAAAGACCCATCTTGTGAAAGAAGAAAGACAGAGTAGAGTGAACTGTCTCCTGCATCACAGTCTTTTAAGTGGAAAACAAGTTTGTTGATATTATCAGGTAATACATCAACAAAATGGCATTTTGTTCTAAGTTTTTTATAGTCTTTTTTTCTTATCAATCTGCTTTTTTATTTTTTAATGCATTATTTTATTTACCTTTTTATTTTCCATCAGATACATGGTAGCTGACTGTATTTTTTTTCTAATTGATATATCTTTGTGGATATTTAAAAAGAACCTGGAGAGAGGCTGCAGCTGGCAGCCAGCCAGATGGGAAGTTCCTATAGGAACTCTCATGGTGTTCATGGCATTTAAGGCAGTTTTGGAGAGATTTTTACATAGGGGTCTCTTTCCCTGACTTCAACATCTGCAATATTGCTAAGATGTTACCTTGCAACAAACCATAGAGATAATTCAAAGCAACTGCTAGACCAATTTCTACTCTCTTCACCCTGATGCATGTGTTGGAGTTTCAGTGAAGTCCCGAGTGGACATAGCTCCTCACAGTTGGTGCATAAAAGAGAAGCAAGGAGCAAGCATTCCAGGTCACAAGGGATGGTTGGTTGGTGAATATTCTGAGTTTAAGCCCTTCTTAGCCCTGAGTGAGTGATGAGACCTGCTTGAGGAGCCCCACCCTTACACTTAACTACTTTTCTTCCTCCTTCATCCATCCTCCAGCTCCCACTATACACACACATAGACATTGCCTGATGTTCAAATCTCATGATTGACTTTCTAGATTCCCTCATCAGAGCAATTTAGATACATAGTCTTACCATTTATCAATTTTTCCATGTCCTCTCGATTTTCCAAAATTTGCTCTTCAAACTAGAACCAGAAAGAATAAAGGAGTTCTTGTTATTCATTCTAAAGCATTACAGAACTTTTAACCTTAAATGATTTCTGCCTGGTACATCATAGGGAGCAGGTAAGATTTCTGAGTTTGGCATGGTACACAGAGGTACACAATCCTGCCATTTGGAAATTCAGATTAGAGCCATCAAGAACAGAGCATGAAGCAAAATAAGCCAGTCAGAGAAAGACAAGTAGCCCATGATTGTGTAGAATCTAATGAACAAAATAAACTGACGAACAAAACAGATCCAGAGACATTGAAACATGCAATAGACTGATCTATTTCAGAGGGAAGTGGCAGGAGGTGGGGAGGCTGGAAGTGTTTGACCAAAGAATTAACATATGCTTAGCCCATGGACAAACAATAGTGCTGGGAAGGCCTGGGGACTGTGCAGCTGCAGGATGGAGGGTTATGTGCATGGGGGTGGGGAGGAAACATCGGTAATCCTTTCAACAATAAAGATATTTTAAAAAGAGGACAGAGCATGGCTTTCAGCACTTAACTGCTCACACTTGGAGGTTCCATTCACTTCCACCTACTTTTATATCTGTCAATGGTCAGGTCATGATTTTGAAGGGGTGTGTTATTGGGGGGAAGGGACTGGGAAGTTCTTCTAGTTATGGAGTTTTAATATCTCAGGAAAGCCTTTCTCTCCAGATGAGACAGGCCAGAAAAGTGTATCCCCCAGCATGGGGCATCCTTGGGCCCATAACCATCTAAGATGCTGTCACCAAGGCGACAATTACATCACTTGATTTTCTTTATAGTTTAAAAGGGATATTTTATACAATGGACATGGATGTGGGGTTATGGGGGTCTGTCCTGGGGGTGGGGGGTGTGAATCAGTCAAAAAGGAGAAATATGTACTATTTTACACAATAAAAAAAAAAAAAAAAAAAAAGATCTTTGAGTGTTTGAGTATAATAAAGGGTTTGGACTAGCTTACTTTGTGGAACAATCAATCGTGAATCTACATAATTCGATAGGGGAAGAGCAGATAGATAGTGAGTTATGTGTGCAACAATTTATAAAGCTTCCAGTTCATGACAAACATAAAGAATGGAGGATGGTCACCAAGGGAGGGTGGCTAAGGCAGGATACCATTGGCAGGTGTGATGTTGCTTGTGAGGCTAATGGAGATGAAAATGATTGTGAAGATCAACTTTCAGGAGCAGAGAACCCAAAGATCCTAGCCAAGAGCCTTACCCCACGCCCTCTTCAGTAAAGCTGAGATGAACTTGAGGAAGCCTAAGATGTTCTCCATATTACCTCCTAGTTACTCCCTATGCTGAACTCATCCTGCTCACAGGCTCTGAACACGTTCCTGAATCCCAGAGTTGAACTTGGGGTAGGTTGATGGAGAAAAAGAAAGAAAGAAAAAAAAAGGCTGCATGGCACTATTAGTATTTTTTTGTGTACTTTCTGACTCATAAAATTAAGAAAGAGCCAGGCTTGAGTCCCCATGCCTTCTGGAACCAATGAAGAAAGTATAATCCTGGCTCAGGTAAACATGTTGTTATGAGACAGAAGGGAGCACATTAAAGCTCCTGTGTCCCTCCCCTGAAACCCTTTTTTACTGCTCTGATTTGTGGGACAAAGTTTCCTGAGTTCATCCATGACTCCCTCTCCTAAAAACCCTCAGAGTTGCTGAGTCACTCTGATGTGGACTGAGAGAGATGTATTTTTCTCATTGACACCTCTAGAGGGAGAGCTCAACAGACTGCCACAGAAACCTACCAAATTTCCATGCAGAATCTGGCATTTTGACACTGAAAATCAAGCATGTCAAACTCAAAGGCTAACATGGGCCAAATAAACAAGGTTTAAGTTTATGGGGGCCGCAAAAAAAAAAAGCTTTCTTTTTCATATAAACCTAGATTTATTTCCATAGAGACATGCTGAATACAAAGGGCTGAAATAAATGAGTCATCGTTAACAAGAAATAATAGAATATTCTAATTAAAATTAATATTTTTTTGAACATTAACTTACCAGACACTGAATAACTGCGCAAATTCATAAGCGTAATGCAAATAAACCTATTTTTCTTGTTCTCCAAAAGTGAGATATTTCCTATTGTGTACATCAAACAAGTCAGCACAAGATTAATGACGTGGCAATCAGCTGCTAGAATATTTACTGCTAATATTAGTGGAGAGAAATGGTGTGCCTGCAGTAAGGCACGTAAGGGAAATCAGTCATTAGTGAATGTTGTAGTTCATTACTAATAATAATGTAGAACAAGATACTGTAAAAATTAAGTTTTGAAATTTTATTAAAACATTTCTTAGATACCGTTATATTGGCTGGGCCACAACAATATTCATTGTGGGCCACATGTGGCCCATGGGCCAAGAGTTTGACATGTTTGCTGCAAATGCTTGGATGTCCTCTAGATGCTTCCATTCTTCTTTTAATCACCTATTCATTTCTCTGCATCCTGACTGGAATGTAAGCCTCCTGAGGGCAGGGACTTTGTCTGTCTTGTTCATCCATGTATCCCCAGAACCAAGCACAGAACCTGGCACTTAAAGGTGCTCAACAAAATCATTGCTGAGTGCTATCTTTAAGTCTTTAACAGGCAGTTTGTTATAATCTCTCCTCTCTACTTTTGCGGTTATATCTTCATTTTAATTACATTACATTCTAATGTTATAATTTTTATCCTTTTATTTTAAAATTTTTTAGCATGTATAAAATAAAAGTACAAAGATCCTCTTTGTATCTATCACCCAGCTACAATCATTATCACACAAACCAATCTTGCATCATCTATATGCCCACCCACACTCCCTATCTTGTGAAAATTTGAAACAACCCCATATACAGTATCATTTAATACTTAACTCTTTAATTTATATTTCTAAAACATTACATTTATTATCAAAATAACCACAATAGCTGAAACCGGTTTGGCTCAGCGTTAGAGCGTCAGTCTGCGGACTGAAAGGTCCCAGGTTTGATTCTGGTCAAGGGCATGTACGTTGGTTGCAGGCACATCCTCAGTAGGGAGTGTGCAAGAGGCAGCTGGTCGATGTTTCTCTCTCATCCATGTTTCTAGCTCTCTATCTCTCTCTCCCTTCCTCGCTGAAAAAATCAATAAAATATATATATTTTTAAAAATAACCACAATATCACACATAAAATCACAACTAAAAATTAATTATTTTTAATATCCTCTAATATTCAATCAGTAGTTGTATATGTGTCATAAATATTTTACTGTTCATTAAAATCAAAATAAGGTCCATAAATTTTGTCTTGTGGCTTTTTCTTTTGTTTCATTTAAAATTTTATTTTAATTTTTTCTGTACTCTTGCAACATGAGGATTTTTAATAATTTTATTGATCAATTCTTTCCTAATATGCATGATATTTTTATTTGAGGCAAAACCATTCACAGGCCATCTAATATGAAAGTTTTCTCGCTTATGTGAGAAAGTACTTCAATACATTCAATTTTAGTCTCAACTTAAGATGACAGAAGCCAGAACCCACCTCGACTCCAGCTGCAGCCAGGAGCCACCTGACGGGCTCCATTCGAAGTCGCGCATTCATATAGTGAAGCCTGGGCTTCCCGGCCATGATGCAGTCCCCTGGTTTCTGTAAACACGAGCGAGTGAATGAATGAATGAATGAATGAAGCCATAGAAACAAAATGTATTTATGGTGTACATTTGGACAGAAGGGTGAAGTATCTGCTTTGTTAATGGTGGAACTGGTGGAGTCCCATGAGGTCTTCCTTTGTCCATATCCTCACCCAATAGTGGCCATTGGTGACAAATTGCACCAAGTAAGTCTCAGGTTGCCATTTATGCCCACTATTCTATCAAATAAATGAGTGATATGCAAATTGACCATACCTTTGCTACAACCACAAGCCACACTCACCAGCCAATCAGGAGCAAGTATGCAAATTAACCCCACCAAGATGATTGCAGCCACTGAGAGAGCAGGAGGCTTGGGTTTCCCCAGTGATGGAGGAAACCAGGCTTTCTGCATACCCTGGCCAGCCCAGGCCCCACTCAAGGCTACAAAGTTTCAATTATAGAAGATAAATAGACCCCAGATACCATGGCCTCTGGTTGGGTCGCTGGAGAGCATGGTTGGCCTGCAAACCACCAGAGGCCCCTCGCCAGGCCGCCCCCTCCCCAAAGGAACCTCCACCCTGATTCGGGACACTCTTCAGGGCAAACAAGCCGGCCCCCACCTATGTGCCAGGCCTCTATCTTATCTAATAAAAGAGTAATATGAAAATTGAACATCACTCCAACACACAAAAAGGCTGCCCCCATGTGGACACAAGATGGCTGCCACAAGATGGCCAGGTGGGGAGGGAAGATAGGAGGGACCAGAACTTTAAGGGAGGGCAGTTGAGGGCAATCAAGCCTGCAGAGAAGGACAGTTGCGGGGGACCAGGCCTGCAAGGAAGGGCAGTTATGGGTGACCAGGCCTACATGGGAGGGAAGTTAGGAGCAAACAGGCTGGCAGGGAAGCAGTTAGGCATCAATCAGGCTGGCATGGGAATGGTTAGGGGGTGATCAGGCTGACAGGCAGAAGCGTTAGAGGCAATCAGGAAGGAAGGCAGGTGAGCAGTTAGGAGCCAGCAGTCCTGGATTATAAGAGGGATATCTGACTTCCCATTTAGGCCCCATCCTTCCAGTAGGATTGTGCCTAAATGGGCAGTCAGACATCCTTCAATGGGTCCCAGATTGGAGATGGTGAAGGCTGGGCTGAGGGACACACACCCCTCAAGCACCAGTTTCGTGCACCAGGCCTCTAGTCAGAATATAAACAGAGCAGCCTGGCTCCCACACAGGTGAAGCAAGCCAGTGAGGGACTTTGAAGCCAGAGGACTTAACCACAGGGAGGAGGAGAAGGGAGTAGAGTTAGTCATCTGCTCTATGGCTGTCATTCTGCTCTTGTGCAAATGTGTGCAGTGGGGCTTAGTCCTGGTGTAATAGTCACCAACACCTTCTAAGTTCTCTCCACATAGGAAGGGTTTCATTTCTATTATCTACTGGACTTTTATACTTTTTCCACTGCAGGATGAATTTTATTTTCCATTTAGAAAAAGGGATGTTAGTGATTACCTTTATAGTACATGGAAAGGAACTTACATGTTTAGTGTCTACCACATACTGGACATTTTCTAATGTTTATCCTTATTTTATTTTGGTAAAAATGACTTGAGGTAGATCTTGTTATTATTCTAAGTTTATAGTTGGGGGTTCAGATGGCTATAGAGGTTAAGCAAGTGACCTAAAATAAGTGGTAAACCTATCATTTGAACACAGGTACAAAACACTATGTTGGACACCAAAGTCTTGGAGCTTTCCTAAAACAGTATTTTATAAACCATGGATTGTGATCCCTCAGTGTGCTCTGAAATCAGAACAGTGGGTTCTGACAAGCATTTTCTATTTGAAATATAATAGAAAATATCAGTGTGTCATATGTAGTAAGTCTACATACTTACTAAATGAAATTTTAATTTAGTTACACTTACACTTGTGAGTGTGTATATGTGACTGCATGCTCTGGTTTGTTGTAAAATGTAAGAAATTCATTTGTCTGGGTCAGCCAAACGAGTCTGACAGCTGTAGTCCTTTTCTGAGGTTTCTCTGCACCACTGACTGGATAATTCTTTGCTGTGGGGGGCAGTCCTGAGCATTGGAGGATATTTACTTTAGCAGCAACCCTGACCTCTACCCACGAGATGCCATTAGCATAGTGCCCTGTTCCTCTCTCCTGTCATGACACCCAAAATAAATCAGGGGCAAAATCAGCTCTGGATGAGCACCACTGCTCTGTTCCAAGTTGTAGCACATGGATGGGAGGAGCCAAAGACAGCTCCTCACATAAGGACTGGGAAATTCCAGCCAAAGTCTGGGGCAGGTTTTATCAGTATTTTTAGTACAAAGGCACAGAAATCATTAAAAAGCAAAGGTTTGCTCTTCCTGAAAGTCACTAAGAGTGACCTCTAAAAATGATTCACTATTCACTTGACACAGAAAACACCACAAAATCATGCAAATCAAGAGGTCCAAATCTTCCTGTTCATTGCCCAGGCCATCAAGTGTATGCTATTCAAAAGGCCACCATCTATCAAAAGAATGCCATTTTATAAAAGCTATGTGAGCTATTCAGTTGTTACAATGTGGAGCTGGTAGGTGTGCTCAGGCAAGAATTCAATTGCCTAGACCAGTGGGCGGCAAACAGCGGTAGAGGTCAGGGATGCTGCTAAAGTAAGTATCCTCCAATGCTCGCAAGCCACATGCCTCCATCAGATTGAGGACGTTTTTAGCAAAGGCCAGCTTAGGAGTACCTTAATTAAGTTAATAACAAAATACCTGCCTAAATCATTTAAGTTTAAAAAATTTGGCTGTCAAAAAAAATTTCAATCGTTGTACTGTTGATATTTGGCTCTGCTGACTAACGAGTTTGCCGACCACTGGCCTAGATTTAGCGGGGGACAATTTCTGCCCCATTCTTAGTCACTAGACATCAGAAAATGTTTGTAAGCATTTTTTTTTTGCAAGATTTTGTGGTTAATTTCTTAGCAAAACATATATGTCTTCACGCAATAGTTATGCTTTTATTTTATTTTTCAAAATATATTTTATTGATTTTTTACAGAGAGGAAGGGAGAGAGATAGAGAGCTAGAAACGTCGATAAGAGAGAAATATCGACCAGCTGCCTCTTGCACACCCCCTACCGGGGATGTGCCTGCAACCCAGGTACATGCCCTTGACCGGAATCAAACCTGGGACCCTTCAGTCCGCAGGCCGACGCTCTACCACTGAGCCAAACCGGCTTCGCAATAGTTATGTTTTTAAAAGGTAAATGAAATTTGAATTTTTTATATGTCAAAAGGTAACTATAAATTAACATTGCAATTAAGCAATAAATGCTGTGTTCTATTTTGCTGTGTTCAGATTCTGACTGGGAGGCATAGGTTTCCCAACAGGAGGTGTTGGTTCAAGAGGCATATAACCATTGTCATATATTTTCTTCTCATTGCTCAATATGTGACCCTGTCAAATTTAAATTCAGTACCATTGTGCATTGACTACTATATGAACACACTAATGCATCATTTATAATGGCGAAAGTGACTTTAGTGTAAGCTCACATGCTCTCCCTAAAACAAAAATGTTGCGTTTTCTCATTACCTGTAATAACAATCTTAATTTTTCCCATATCATCAAGTTCTCTGCCTATATTTTCAAAATTATTGGTTATTATTTTCCTTTAAAGACCTGGCCTTGAGGAACTAATAAAAAAATAAAAAAAGCTTGAATTGTCTCCTGAACACACAAGGAGGGCACAATAAGAACAGAGTAACACATTAAAAATTTTCTGAGTAAAACAGACACAAGACAATTTATAAAGATGTGTAAGGTCAGTACTAACCTATTAAATTCACGCTGTCTCTCTGCTCAGCTCCTCAAGGTCACTGACTAATACCTGTGTTGGATGCTTAAATATCTTGACAACTCTCTCCCTCCGAAGGGGGTGGGGTCCAATAAGGAGCAGGCACTCCACAGCCTTCAGCCTCCACAGAGTTCAATACTTGACATGAAAGCAAATGACAGCTTAGCAATGTTTCATTTCAAGATTATCCATAAATACACAAAGAAAGGATTTCAGGTTTATTCAGTTGCCCAAAAGGTCCGTGGGAACCAGGCTTCTATTAACACTGCTGCTTATGTAGGATTTGATGAAATTTGCTGTAACGATGGAAAAGTCTTATGGGAAAATGTATCATAGGAGGGTAGTGTCAGAAAAGAAGATTAGATAGAGAACAAAGGGAGATAGCAATCTAAATTCGTAAAAAGGACTGAATGATGAATACGGTTGCAACCCAAATTCTCTAGACCCAAAGAATCTGTCTGAATACCCTAGTAGTGGGCAGGAGAAACTCAGCTGCCTTACCTGGGCCATGTTAGACCCCTTCCTTAGTGACTACACTTCAGCATTTCTCTCTAGCCTCAGGACCCTTGCATGTGCTGTTTCTTTTGATTGGAACGCTCTCCTGTTGTACTGTCAGGCATCCTGTGCTTCCTCTGTCAAGTAATTATGACCATATCTGTTTAATATCTGTGTGTCTTTCTTCAACACCTCCCCCTCCCATTAACTGAGACCTGCCCAGTGCCCATGACTGACTATAGTGCCTGACACCACATAAAAGAGACTTCATAAGCAAAAATAAATACATATAAATATGTATACTGTATCTTTCTAATTAAAAATTTCTAACAGATATAAATGCAGAATGACAAGTATAATGGGCCTTAATGTACCCATCACATTGCCACATAATTGTCAGCAATGTTTTGAAGCAAATCCCATTGTACTGCATCATAAATAATTTAACATATATCTTTAAACTTTGGTGAAATTATTTATGTTACAGAAAAATTGCAAGTGGTACAGAGTTTTCAAATACACTTCCCCCAGTTTTGTCTAATATGAATATTTTACATAACCATAGTAAAATGATCAAACCAGGAATTTGATATCGATACAATATTATTAACAAAACTCCAGATTTTACATGGGTTTCAGCAGTTTTTCGACC